TTCCCCACACCCGTATGTGACAACCGGTCATTCATTACCCCAGTGCCAGGGGACCTAACATGCTCTTCTGACCTGTTTGGACATCAGGGACACAGGTGGTACAAAAAAACAAAAAACAAAGAAAACAAAATAAAACAAAACAAAACAAAAAACCATACCTGTATAAAAAACCCCCACACACTTAAATATACATAATAAAGTTTTAAAAAATCTTATTACAAACTTAAGCATTTTAATGAAAACAATACAAATCCTACTGTAATCAAAAAGTTACTATATTAGTGGTAATATTTTATATATTATAAAGAAATCAATAAATTTGAGCAAATGGCCAGTTGATGAATCAGACCCAGGCATTTACACTGAAAGTATGCACTGAGCATGAAAAATAGATTTTAAGAAAACATTTGGGCTCTAATCTAGCTATAGGTTAGAGACAGAGCCCTGTATTGAAGCCTTTGGCTCTAACTCACAAGAAAACAAAAAACACCATCTAATTATGATAAGTTTATCTTCATCTAGAACACTTACACCTGGCACTAGTTAGTATACTAAAATTTTTAGAAGCCTTTGGAAGATAAAATGTTAATTAAATACCTTAACATTTCTGAACAAGAACTCTGGGAAAGAGTTATGCCTGCAAAGACTGATTGAATGGATAGAATTCCAGCCATGTGGGTTTTGCAGGGCCAGAGACTAATTACAGTTTCTCTTGGGCTATGTTTAATTTCCTCATTAGCCATTTCTTGCCCAGCACTGTGTTGGGCCTCCTATGACTAACATATGAAATAACATTCTGGAATATATTAACTTAATAAAACCCTAATTTCCCACCAGTCAAAGGACTAAGAATGCAGTCAGCTAATATTTAAGGTGTAATAAGCTGTTCCCTGTCTTGCAAGGATCTGATGACTGTATATGAGGGAGCACAGTAAAGAAACTGCTGACTCGATCTCTCCATGATATGGTTAAGATTTTTACTATAGATAATGACAGGAGCACCAGAGGCACCTGGAAGAGTCCAGAGTAGAGAGGGAAAGATGTAGACTGAACATGGCTAGGGAAGCAGCCGAGAATAGTGGAAATACTGAAGTAGCCAGAGACAGAAACAAGAGCACAGGCAGAGAGAGTAAGAAAATATGAAACACACACACACACACACACACACACACACACACACACAGAGACAGAGAGAGGGGGATTGTGTGAGACACAGACACAGACAGAGAGGAGAGAGAGAGGGAGGGAGGGAGGGAGGGAGGGAGGGAGGGAGGGTGGGAGGAAGAAAGAGATAAGAATGAGTAGCTATGGCAGAGAAAAGCCCCTGAACTACAATGAGTTATGGTAGAGGAAGAGATGAGAAGGGCTGACATGCTAGTGTAGACTTTGAAATGTGTAACATGTACTTCTGATATTGAGGGAGCCAAGAAGCGGGCACAGAGTTTGATATGCAGCCAGAGGCAGAGGCAGCCATAGGTCCCTTCTGCTAGAGCTAAGGAAAATGGCTTCTTTTGGCAGATGGAAACCAGTTTGGCAAGTTCCTGAGGAATGCTGGCTTTTATCTAACTGCCAGATGTCCTGTAATTCTGGATATATGGACTGCGTTTTGCAGTGTTTGGGAAAACGATTTACTTTGGATCTAACAATGAACACACATAAACAAGAATATATACTTTAATATATATTCAATGAATAAGAATTTGGAATAACCTGAATCTGTGTTTCAGGGGACATGGTCATTCATATTTGACTCCAGAAAAAAGGGTGTCATATATACTTTGATGAAAAAGTTAACTTTTTCATCTTTTTAAATTTTGGTCAACAATACCCATTCTCTCAGTTAAAGCATTTGAATTTTAGATTATGGTCAGAAGTGTATATTTTATAGTATAAAAAGACCCCGTCAGCATGTTTTTGTTAAATGTGTGGGGTTTTGTTAAATGCATGACCTTTCTTAAAATGTATGCCCAATTAGTTATTATGATGAAATATTAACTACACATAAACTTTTTTTTCTTCACACCAGTTCAAACTATTTCAATGTAGAGTCCCTTTGCCAAGAAATATTGATCAAAATTAAATATAGAATTTTAGTCATTGTTAGTGGTAATACTCAACGCGTGTCTGAACACAGAAAATACATATGATTTTTTTTAACCTAACTCGTGAATTTCTGTGTGTAATTGGTTAAAAAAATTATATCAGCCGGGCGTTAGTGGTACACGCCTTTAATCCCAGCACTAGGGTGGCAGAGGCAGGCGGATCTCTGTGAGTTTGAGGGCAGCCTGGTGTACAGAGAAAGTTCCAGGACAGCCTCCAAAACAATACAGAGAAACACTATCTCGAAAAAACAAAAACAAAAAAAAATTTCTATCAACTCTTCAGGAATAAGAAGACGTGACCATTTAAAAGCTTTAACTAAAGGAAACCATTTGAACTGTAGTCACCATAGAGAAGGAATACAAACTAATTCCCAGCAAAGCGCGAACCTTCAAGTGTGCACTGACCGCCAGAGCATCTCAGCAGCGGCCTGCTGTGTTCTCTCTGGACCGGGTGACGGGTCGTTAGGGGACCGCTTGGCATTCTGTATTTTACACAACGTCAGTGTGTGGCTTGTGCGCTCTATTCCCCAAACTTAGACAGGGTGACGAGTTAGTTCCATTAGAAAGCACAGACAAGGAAACAAGAGGCGCTTTTTTTTTTTTTTTTTGGTTAAGCCTTCCCTCCCCACGGCGGCGGGCGCAACTTCCCGCCTCCTCCCTCAGGTCCTCAGTTCGGTCCGCCGCCTGCTGTATAAAAGCCGGCGCTCAGCCGCTCTCTCGGTGTCTCAAGCTCTCAGCAGCTCGACAATTCACCATGTCTGGCCGTGGCAAGGGCGGTAAGGGTCTTGGCAAGGGCGGCGCCAAGCGCCACCGCAAAGTCCTCCGCGATAACATCCAGGGCATCACCAAGCCCGCCATTCGCCGCCTGGCCCGCCGTGGCGGAGTCAAGCGCATCTCCGGCCTTATCTACGAGGAGACCCGCGGAGTGCTGAAGGTGTTCCTGGAGAACGTGATCCGCGACGCGGTCACCTACACGGAGCACGCCAAGCGCAAGACCGTCACCGCCATGGACGTGGTCTACGCGCTCAAGCGCCAGGGCCGCACGCTCTACGGCTTCGGCGGCTAAGCGTATCCGCCTCTCTTCTTTCCACTTTAAAGGTCCTTTTCAGGGCCACCCACCTAATCTCATAAAGAGCTATGACATTTTCATTTTGTGATAGCCCAGAGATTACTATTTTGTATTTTAAAGTCGTGTATTTACGGTGAGCATTCTTTAACAATCATGTTTGCACCTTAATTTACCATTTGGGATCTCCAGTTTTCTGAAATGCAATTTTAAGAACCCAGAGCCACCAGTATTTGTTTTGAAAGTGAAAAATTAAAAAAGACCACCCACAGTTGATACATGTTATACATTGCAATTGTAAATATGCACCGCATGCTAATCCTACCAGTGGTGTATAACAGTTTGGGTAAAATTTAAATGTAAATTTACTCCATTTATCAACTAGGCACAGGGATTTGGTTAATAGCATTTGCTGTTCTTGAGGTCAGGAGATCACTTCCTGGAGCCCTCTGAGCAATTCATAAACTACCTAGATCCAACTTCAGGGTTTCTGTTTCCCTTTCTAACTCATTCACGTGCACGGACACACCTTTGCATACACGAGTAACTTACAAAATGAATTCAAGCTCCACAACAAAAGGGGAAAAAAAGGAACACCGAGATTTTTATTTGTCTATTTAAGATTGAGGGGTGTCTCACATACCCGCAAGTGTCACATTCAACTCAAGTTGCAGTCAAAACCGTCCTTGAACTCCTGGCTGATTGTCCTGATTTCATCTTTGGAGTATCTGGATTACACCACCAGCTCTGACTTACTTTTCTTACTGCTTTATCAGGCTTCTACACTGGCAATGAAGACAAGAGTCCCAGTTTGGGCAGAGTGGAAGGCAGTTGGTGAGGATGAGGAAGAAACACTGATTCACTCTTGGTGGAGGTGCAAATAAATACTGTCTAAATCAGTTTGGTGATAGCTCAAAAACAACCCCCCCAACACACACACACAAAACAAAAAATGAAAAATATGATGAGCATATACGCAGAGAACTCCATTATACTGTAGAAATATTTGTACCCTGATGTTCATTGCTGCTTCATTCACTACAGCAAAAAGTTGGAATCAACCTAGTTGTCTACAACAGAGGAATAATTGAAACACTTATATATAATCTTATTCAGCTCTAAAGAAAAATAAAGCTAGAGAAGCAGGAAAATAGATGGAATTGTAATGTATATGAAGGACACACAACCTAAGAAAGCCCACATCTCTCTCATACATTGAATGTAGCAAATGAATGTATGTAAACTATTAACATACATATGGATAGAAAATGAGAGAACAAGAAAGGTCACGTCTAAGCGAGAAAAGAATGGATACAGATACCTGGACAAGCTATTTAAAGTTAAGGGTTTACTAAGTGACATTTCTGGTCTACACTCTTTCTGGAGATGGATTAAGGCATAAAATACACTTGAAACTTAAAATATAAAACTTGAAACTTTAGTTCAGAATGCATAACTATAGCTTGAGCTGTTGACTGATACTCATTTGTTTGCGATGTTTAAATGTTAACCTCTATTCAAAAACATTTTCCATAAGTGGCAGCAGGTTTCAGGGAGCAGAATGAGCCACTGCATTAGACAACGGTAGTCTGCAAAGCCAGAGCAACATCTCTCAGAAGTCAATTCAATGATCACATCAAATACCAAAAGGACGCTGACAAAAAGCACTGACAAAGTGAAAACTCTCGAAACAGGAACAGAGCAGACCCATCAACCACTCCTTTGACCAGTCTCTATAGCGTTCCAAAGACACAGCTTTCATAATTCGCATGCAAATTAAGAGCATCCACAGCTGCATTTTGATTGGACAGAGCGTCAGTGGTTCCATGCTGTTTAATATGTAATATTTAAACACACAATAGAAACACTGAGACAAAAAGGTCAGCTCCTTCAAGAAAATGTGGTGGCCCTGAAAAGGGCCTTTAAAGAGGAAAGAAGAGAGGCGGATACGCTTAGCCGCCGAAGCCGTAGAGCGTGCGGCCCTGGCGCTTGAGCGCGTAGACCACGTCCATGGCGGTGACGGTCTTGCGCTTGGCGTGCTCCGTGTAGGTGACCGCGTCGCGGATCACGTTCTCCAGGAACACCTTCAGCACTCCGCGGGTCTCCTCGTAGATAAGGCCGGAGATGCGCTTGACTCCGCCACGGCGGGCCAGGCGGCGAATGGCGGGCTTGGTGATGCCCTGGATGTTATCGCGGAGGACTTTGCGGTGGCGCTTGGCGCCGCCCTTGCCAAGACCCTTACCGCCCTTGCCACGGCCAGACATGGTGAATTGTCGAGCTGCTGAGAGCTTGAGACACCGAGAGAGCGGCTGAGCGCCGGCTTTTATACAGCAGGCGGCGGACCGAACTGAGGACCTGAGGGAGGAGGCGGGAAGTTGCGCCCGCCGCCGTGGGGGAGGGGAAGGCTTAACCAAAAAAAAAAAAAAAAAGCGCCTCTTGTTTCCTTGTCTGTGCTTTCTAATGGAACTAACTCGTCACCCTGTCTAAGTTTGGGGAATAGAGCGCACAAGCCACACACTGACGTTGTGTAAAATACAGAATGCCAAGCGGTCCCCTAACGACCCGTCACCCGGTCCAGAGAGAACACAGCAGGCCGCTGCTGAGATGCTCTGGCGGTCAGTGCACACTTGAAGGTTCGCGCTTTGCTGGGAATTAGTTTGTATTCCTTCTCTATGGTGACTACAGTTCAAATGGTTTCCTTTAGTTAAAGCTTTCAAAACGCCATCTTAACATCTATATTACTCTCTTAATTTTTCGTAAAAGCAGCACCAATGGGTGACTTAGTCACATCAGCTGATGAATCTGTCAAGTTTAAGGTCATTTCGCATGTAATGTAATTTTACTTAAGTATAGTTAAGGTCAATACTGATATTTCTATGTTGACTATTAAATTTAAACTTTATATGTACTTAAACTTCATCAAACTGCAAATTTCATCTCTAATATTTTCTATTTAATTGGCTTTCATCAATATTTTCAAAGAAACATCCAAATGCTTTTGTGAAGTTTGAATAAAGTATTTGAGGATGGTAGTTCTCCTGTTACTGCTGTGCCCAGTACTCTCTATACAGTAAAAGTAAAATGAAAATGCTCTTTTTGTAATCTCATGAAATATTTTTTCGTTAGGATCATCTATCATGAGGATTCCTGGAAAGAAGCTGTGTCTTCAAAGACTGATTGGCCATAACTGAATTGATGTGGAGATTTAGGGGCCCAGACCTGACAGAGAGGGTGGAATGTCCATAGAGTGGCTGTCTCATCTTTGGCTAGTTATAAGTCCCTGAATGTGATTGCCCACCTCTATGTCTAAAGTAACATCTTGTGACTAATAGATAAAAACCATCTGCAGCCTTAAAATTGCAGACTACTAGCTTCTACCAATTCAAAATCCAAGGACATCTTCAGACACAGTCACTACTATATCCTGGTGGCCATGGGCTGATTGACAGTAGACATGTATCCAGTGTTCCTGAAAGGACCACATTTAAGAGTGAATTCTGTCCCATCAATTTTCCTGTTTGAACTGTCAGGAGCAATGTCTCTGCTTATCAAGGCCCAGTTTCACAGCCTGGACCTGAGCAATGAGCTGTGAGCTCAAGTCAAATTTAACTATCAAACACTCTGTACTGAAAGTGTCCCACATTGCAAAGAGTCTTATTTGCATGGACAGAGTAGAGTGGAGATGGACTGGAACCATCTACAAATAAAGCCAAATCTTTTTTCAGACACACTTTATATGTAGGGAAGTACATTTACAAGCTAGTTAGTTGTTCAAGCAGTTTTTTTTTTACTTAAATTCTTTTTTAGTGTGAAAAATATGTACCTTTTAAAAGATTCTAGAGATTTGCATTTACACCAAAATTGAAACCATTATTTAATAGACACTTAACATAAAGTATCTATAAGACATTATTCAACAATGTTTGGTAGTAGTTCTAATAGCACTGCAGTCCATGCTACCCTGAAATTAAGAAGGTGGCCAAGCCTGGCCTCAGATCCACAATTATCCTGTCTCAGCCTCCTGAGCCCTAGCATGGCAAACCTGAGTATCAGACAGGCTTCATAAGAAGCATTTCCCTCCCAAAAAAGGTTTATAATTAGTTTGCATATTTGCAATTGCAACCAGAACCTAAATAAGTCTTACTTTAAAAAATTATATTTTAACTTTTTCTTTTGATTCATTTAAGTTTATGTTTATGAGTGTTTTGCCTGCATGTACGTAAGTATAAATATACAATGTGTGTCCTGATACGTACAGAGGCCAGAATAATGCACGAGGTCTCCAGGAATGGAAATAGACAGGTGTGTGTCATCCTGTGGGTGTGAGAACTGAACCCAGGGTCTCTGAAAGAGCCACAAGTGTGCTCAAATGTTGAGCCATGTCTTCAGGCCCACATTCCACCCTTCCTTTTCTAATAAGGAGATGCTTGTATTCCAGGGAGGTGAGGGCTGTGTGGGTGGATAACTGGTAGATGGGATACCAGGCAATACTAGGAACTGAAAGAACACTTAGGGGCGTGGGGGGGGGTATGGAGCAGGCAAGGTGTTTGTGTTTATACAAACATGCATGAGAGTGAACAACTGCATGTGTGTGTGTGGGTGATGACCTAAAGGCAGGCAAGAGACAAATCGGAAGAATCTGAGGGCTGCAGGAAAGAGCAGTGAGGAGGTCCAGTATGATCCCATCACATTAAGATCCCATTGTCTCTACTCAGGTTTTCAGTGGGAGAAAAACCATGGACTACCCTGATGAAGACTGCTTTGTTGAGAGCCAGCGTGAATGCTGGAAGCAAGCATACGGCTTTTTCAGTAAAAGGATGGGTTGGTCTGAACCCAAGTGTTGGCACTTTTCTATTGGTGTTCTGGAGGTATCCTACTTTCTCTGAGGAAGGCCAAGTCTCATAAAAAAAGAAAATTAAAAATAAAAAGTGGAAGAGCTGGGCTTCTTATTTCTCTGAGTTTCAAATTTGTCTAACTCAAAAAAAGATCCTGATCACAGAATCCCAAGGCAGGCTGGGGGATCCAAGAGAATGTTTAATGTCTTGATTGGTAGCCTTCATTAGTCCTCAAGTGTCACGTGTACAGGAAGAATGCGTTTTGTTCATCCCATGTAACTGGACTTGGCACAGAATACCACAGGCAGTAGATGCTCAACCTATGAGATGAATAGGAGGCTCAGGCGTTCAACTCTAGCTCCTCTCTGCGCACTACCCTTTTAATCTTGTGTAAATTTGGTGTTTCTGTGTATGCCTCAATGCCAGAACAGGATGAGTGAAACACTGCACCCCACCCACCGCTCACCCCCCCTAGCTGACTTTAGGTACTAGGAACTAAATTTTGGTCCTCTTGCAAGACCAGCAATTGTTCTTAATCACTAAGCCATTTATTTCCCCAGCACCCTAAATGAGTCCTTAAATGTTTAAGTACTACCAAGTTTTCAAATAAAATGCAGACTCTTGATATAAATTCAGTACATTATTTAAAGCTTTTTTTCTAGATTTGCTCTTCGCACTAACTTCTGAAAAGCACTGAATTGTGCATCTTTTACATAAATTTCCAAGTCCTTCGACAGATATCTTTTAAAGACTTTTGATGCCTCAAACTCAAATCTCATCGTAGCCTCCTTTAAAGCCATCAGTGGGCTTGATTTTGCATGTTACCTCCCAAGACTCACCCATGATTTTTATATTACCGTCATGTAAAGAAAAACAAAACCAACGTTGAACGCAGGTATAAGGCTATTCAGAAAGTGCAAAGATAAGAGGCGTGATACGCCTACAGGGAGCTAAGGACCCCCCCCCCCCCCCATTAGCAAACTTGCTATCTTTCATGTAATGCTCTATGGGAAAACACAATGTCTACTGCGAACTTCCTGGCTTAAAATTGCATTAAAACTTTGTTGGCCAACAAGCCATAGCTATTAACCCTAACTTTAGCACAAATGGGTAAAAACCTCAAACCTTAGTTTCTCGCCAACAAAATTAGGACGAAGTTCCACCTATGTCCCTACTTGATAGATATAGAAAAGATTACTGGTTGAACTACTTAGCACAGCTCCTCCCAGTGTTTTCGTAGGTGGCTCTGAAAAGAGCCTTTGATGAATTATCAATGCTTTGTAAAAGGGTCTCATTTGCCCTTGGCTTTGTGGTGGCTCTCGGTCTTCTTGGGCAGCAGCACGGCCTGGATGTTGGGCAGGACGCCGCCCTGAGCGATCGTCACGCGGCCTAGCAGCTTGTTGAGCTCCTCGTCGTTGCGGATGGCCAGTTGAAGGTGGCGCGGGATGATGCGAGTCTTCTTGTTGTCGCGGGCCGCGTTGCCAGCCAGCTCCAGGATCTCGGCCGTCAGGTACTCCAGCACGGCCGCCAGGTACACCGGGGCGCCGGCGCCCACCCGCTCCGCGTAGTTGCCCTTGCGGAGGAGGCGGTGCACGCGGCCCACAGGGAACTGCAGGCCGGCCCGGGAGGAGCGGGTCTTGGCCTTGGCGCGAGCCTTGCCGCCCTGTTTGCCTCGTCCAGACATGATAGACACGAAACTGTCAGAAGACCAACCAGACAGTAACAAGAGCACCATACTCGCACTGTTTATAGTCAACACAAGGCGCGAAAATGCAGCGATTTCATTGGCTGAATACATGTGTTTCCCCTACCCAATGGCACCGTGGTTTTCAAAAGTCCTTGCTTTGATTGGACATTAAGTGAATGACGTTTGCTAATCAAGATAAGCATAGTCATAAATTTGTTTTAAAAGGAGCCAGTGCCGAGTACTTTCCATCTCTCGTTTTGTCTTTGTCTTTTGCCGCCATGCCTGAGCCCGCGAAGTCCGCTCCCGCCCCGAAGAAGGGCTCCAAGAAGGCCGTGACCAAGGCGCAGAAGAAGGACGGCAAGAAGCGCAAGCGCAGCCGCAAGGAGAGCTACTCCGTGTACGTGTACAAGGTACTAAAGCAGGTACACCCCGACACCGGCATCTCCTCCAAGGCCATGGGCATCATGAACTCGTTCGTCAACGACATCTTCGAGCGCATCGCTGGAGAGGCCTCTCGCCTGGCGCATTACAACAAGCGCTCGACCATCACGTCCCGGGAGATCCAGACGGCCGTGCGCCTGCTGCTGCCTGGGGAGCTGGCCAAGCACGCCGTGTCCGAGGGCACTAAGGCCGTCACCAAGTATACCAGCTCCAAGTGAGCGCGCTGACCTCCCTCATAACCCAAAGGCTCTTTTCAGAGCCACCTACAGTTTCGTATGAAATAGCTGTTAACATGTATCTTGGAATATCAGGTCAGTCCTTTTTGATACCCCTCCCCTTGCGCTAAAACTTTGGCGAGGCGTTTCCATCACATGGCAGTAGGAATATTTGAATGAGTCTGCAATAATCTTAAATGGTATGTAATCTGAATCTCCATGAGCGTGAGTCTAGCAATAGCGGACTCCAGTAATGCCCCCGTGCTCTGTAGGATTTCCAAATCCAAGTGGGATTTCCATGCATGAACCAGTGTCTGCAATTTAGTTCCGGTAGTATCTAAATCCTGGTTTCATTGTATTATCGTTTCTGTTCCTGCATGGTCTACTTTCTTTCGTTAATCATGTTTTGTACGTCTTTCTCCAATTATAAAAGTATAAGCTTCACCACCGCAGTCCCTCTACGAGACCTTCACTTATGTGCAGTTAAAGCAGGACAGATGGGGTTACCTATGGAATAATCTGGTTTTGCAGTGCCATCTTGTGACAACAGATAGAAGCACAAGCCTTGAGTTTTCTTGTTCAGACTGAAATTACGTCCTTGCTGTAGGGTTACTATTTGTTTCCTGGTTGTATGAACTTCAACAGTCATTGGTGTGTGACTGAGGAAGGGTAAGATGGACGAGAATAGGGGAGCACAGAGGGAATGTCTCCAGTCACAGTCACCTAAAACCCCCAAAGTCAAATTAAGATAACTGAAAATAATTACAGGCATGCTTTCTAGCGTTAGATATCTGTTTCTCTGTAGTCCTCTGACAGTTTCCCGTGCTTAATCATGTCCAAAGATCTTATTAAAACTCTTTACTAAAATGACAGGGCTGACTTAAGCAACACAACACAGGCAACAGATATTCTTCTGAAGTTCAAGATCAAGGTGTGAACAGGTGTGGTAGTTCTGAGGCCTCTTCCAGATTTGTCAGGTGGCTTCCTTGATCTTAGATCTGGACCTATTCAGCCTGGTACCTCTAATCCAATCAATTCAGGATTCCATTCTTGGGACATTTCTTAGAGGAACTGGACTTACTATGACAAGTTGTTGGGCAAGTGGTAAGCCACTGACTGGCCTGAAGTTCCAACTTGTGAATTAGCTCTTTGAAGATCCCGTTTCCAACTACAATTATATTGAAGGACAAGGCCTGGCCATTTGCATTTGTGGGGAACACACTTTAATCCACAACCACACTTAACACTATTGTTTTATTTCAACCTGCTAGTACTTCAGATTCTCTTTCACTTTAAAAGTCTGCATTTAGTTAAAACTAGTTAAAGTAACAGTTGAGAGACTCTCTAAAGCAGCATTATGTCAGTTGCTCATAGGGGTTCAACAGATATGTCACCAGACATTTGAAACCATGTCTCATTTGAACAAATTTTTAAAAGTCCATAGACTTCTGACATCATATTTATTTTTTTCTGATTTTAATAGAGATAACATTATGAGACACTTAGGCCCCTAAACCTGGCACTTTAGTTTCTTCAAAATTCAAAAGAAACTAGGAAACTGAAATTGGTAAAGAAAAATAGACCTATTCACATTTGAGTGGGAACTGTGCTTCCTCTGCTTTTCCTGTAGTGGTGTTACAGATTTATAGAAACCTATAAAACAAACCCAGGACATGCAGGTGCCGGGTCTAGATGAGACAGGCTGTCCTGCTAGGAAAGCTCTTCCTGGAGGCAAGTTCATCCCCAGACTCAGCATTTTAGCAGATCCCTTCCCCATCTTAGGATCCCTTGGGGAAATTTTAATTATTTTCAATCCATTACCTTAGCACCCCTCTTTCAATAAGGGCCAAAATACAACTCAGTGGTTTCTTAGCTTTGTTATAACAATCATGCATGGTTATATGCACACACGTGGTCATAAAACTGGTGGAAACTGAGAGGAGCTGTGCGAGTATAAGTGCCCGGCACGAACTCGTAAAACAATTTCACTGGCGAAGCCCAGTTTTCAAGAAGGCACTCATTTCAACATGAAATAGTCTAAACATTTTATATTGGCAATTAACAAAATTTTAGACTATGACACAGACTAGACAAAGAAAAGTTATCCATTGTTTTTTATCTCACAGTTGGACGTAAGCAAAAATTCTGGACCCTGAATAAACTCTTTATGAAGTTCCTGCCACAGAGGCCAGGTACAAATGTCCAGAGTTTCCCACTTTATTTGGTCTTCAACTAAAAAGCCATTCTTCATTTGGTTCCTCTGGGCAGAGCACAGGTCTCACATAGCAAATATGCAAAAGCTAGTTATGAAAACAAAAAGCAAGTGACAGGAGAAATGCTTGCCTTTCTAACAAGGTGAGGTGACAGTGAAGGTGAAGGGAATACCCAGGTGCTTATCGTACTTTGGGTTTCTTTTTGTCTTGAAGATTGAACTCAATTATGTTCCTTTAATCCCAGCACTTGGGAAGTGGAGACAGGAGGATATGGCTTGACAGAGAAAGGAATTAAAGGCAGGAGGAGACAGGAACTGAGGGTTTTTGCCTCTGAGGATTCATGGAGACAGGATTGCCATTTCAACTGGGTAGAGGTAAGATCTACTGCCTGGGCTGCTTTGCTTCTCTGATCTTCAGCTTAAAGCTTGAACCCCAGTATCGGTCTCTGGGTCTTTTATTTTCTGTATTACAAGTTGCTTAGCTGCCTATGTGTTGTGATACACTCTCTTTTACTGTTTTCCTCAGTCCTGTCAGTAAGATCTCCCCCTCTCTTTCTCTAGTGGCCTTTCCCTTCTCTTCTGTTTTACAAGAAGTAAAAGGGACCAGAGTTGAGGCAACAAAAATTAACCCAAAGACTGATACCTAGCATAGCTCCCTTGACAAATGAGCCTCCTAAAATTTTTTGTTTTGTTGGTTTTTCTTGTTGTTTTACTTTGTCTTGTCTTCTTAATCTCCCTTCTCTCCCTTCCTCTCGTTCTTTCCTCCAGTCTACTTTAGATGAAGCCAGGATCTCTGGTTATATTTAAATGGCTGTTTTGTGAACTAATGACCTTTTGTCTTTATCTCCACTCATGTTTGAGAACTGTTTCCTTCTGACTTTAACATCTCAACAATTAAGATTTTGAGCAGAAAAAAAAAGATGCCAGTTTGTATTCAAGAAGGCAGTACATATTTTAAGAGGGAAACCATCAGTACCAGTCTTAGGTCTTATTATGTTTGTATTTCCCCTTCGACAAGCTCTCCATATGTTGCCCAGTCAATTCACTAGCTGAAGTCATCCTCTATCTTTGGCCTGAGCACCTGAGATTAGAGGCAAAACTTTAAAATTTTAATCGATACTTCTGTGTCACAATCTCTCAACTTTGCCCTGTAAAATTCTTCATCTGAAGTATCAATTGCTGCATCAGGTCCATTGCTTATGGTGCCCAGTGACAGCTCCGGTCCTTTGCAGTTACCATGAGTCTCTGTGTGCAGGATTTAGAAGGCCTGTTGCTTCCAAGGCCTGGTGCTGAAGAGTCCACTAATTACTGGGCGATAAATATTACCAGACCTGACACTGGAAACTTGGTATGGAGCAGTATCATTGATTATTCACAAAAGAGATGAGCGTTGTCAGAACAAATTGCCAAAAACTTGGAAGTGGACAAAGTATTCCATGGGATTTTATGCTCTTCCAGAGGATAACCTAACTACAGTTATGGGGGTCTTCAGCTACCTTTGATATATCAGGACATTTTTTTTTTTTTTTTGGTTTTTCGAGATAGGGTTTCTCTGTATTGTTTTGGAGGCTGTCCTGGAACTCACTCTGTAGACCAGGCTAGCCTTGAACTCACAGAGATCCGCCTGCCTCTGCCTCCCGAGTGCTGGGATTAAAGGCGTGTGCCACCAACGCCCGGCAGGACATCTTTTTTTGTTGGTGTATTTCAAATAGTTTTCATTTTTATTGAAAGTACAATTTATATCCCATGGAATTTGTGTTTGAAGTGTACAATATAGGCATCTTTTGGTAGATTTATAGAGTTGTGCAAATATTACCACAACCCAGTGGTACAACAGCTGCATCAAAAAATTACAAATCCTGTGTTCTACTAAGCTGAGCAGGGGAAAGCCTATGAGGCCTCAACCCTACACAAATGACTATAGACAACCGAGAAAAACTGGGAATGGGAGAAGTAGTTTCCCCCCAGGGAGTCCTGAAAACATACATAGAAGTAACATTTTACAGACTGAACAGGTTATATTTAGGAATATATGTGTATGTACGTATACATATTGACATGCAAGAACAATTAACGAAAAACTTGATGCCAGACATTTTGTATCAAGATATCTTACAACTCAATAGAGAGTGACCATAACTGATGAGATGCTAGTCTTTTTTCCAGATGTTGC